ACTCACTCACTCACTCACTCACTCAGCGATCAGCAAATCGCTGATTGTGACTCTTAGAAAGCAAAATTTACAGGTTTTATGATTCCAACGCATACTTTGTAACCTCTTCTCGTAAGTTACGAGTAAAACATGCCATCATACCATCTTTTGGTTTTATTATTCCGAAAAACATTATTTTAGCTGAAATGAGTCTTTGCAACCTTGGTTAATTTTAAAGAGAACCCCTAGAGAATTCAATGACAATATGTTTTTCATTCGAAGGCATAGTTAATGAACTTTCAACAACTGTCAGTAGTGATTAAATGTCGCTAGAACTATTCCACAGCCGCAGACAGTATATGAGCAAGTCAAACGCGCCCTATTTTGCCTGTAGATTTGAAGAAATACTTCAAGTCTCCTCATCCATTCATGTGTGAGTTAGGTAAAGGAGTGTGCGTTTGACTAGTACTGTCGTATTAATGGCCCTTGGCTCATTTTCAACTTCTATTCAATTTTCATACTGCCGTACTCTAGCAGAACTATCAACCTACCCTCTTCAGAACTTTCTCTAGCTAATAAATTATCACACTAAAGCTTCATGTTGATATTAAACAGGATTTTCAACCAAATCTGTAAACTGTCAGTAGATCTTCGACCTTTATTTGAAAGCATATTACTTTTAGTTTTTAGTTTAGCATAAAACCTAATGTGATTTAACGGAAGGGGGTACTTAATTAGATGGGTCATTACTATGACAGCAACATTTTTCTAGGATTTTACATTAGGATTTTGTATCTGCATCCGAAATCTTTCAAATTTGTCGATTATTTTGCTGCCTTGATAATTCTCTCAGAACTATTTACAGGATTTCTTTGTAAATTTCTCCGGAATTACATTAGATTCATTCTCCTTTAAATTATTTTCAGAATTTCCTAAAAAATCATAACAATTCACTGATGGTTTCTTTCTTAATTCACTAGGATTCTCCTCAAATTTCCATGCAATTCAACTCAGAAATGTTACAAAATTCTGCTCAGATTTATCAAGGAGTCTTATTCTGAATTCTTTTAAAAATTCACTCTAAATTCTGCTCAGAATGACCTTGGCACACTTTGATACTCTTCTTTGTTCGTTGCAACTGTTTTCCCGAGTTTTGACGTAGGACTACGTCTGTGATTTCTATATGGGAGTACACTTTGAGAAAAGGGAATATGTAACGAAATTATGAAAGATTTTGAACGTTAATAACTCAGCTGCCCCTGGACCAATTCCAATAATTTTATCTTAAATCGATCAGAAATATTTCTACACATCGATAGCAATGCTTCCGACTGTTGATTCAACAAGAAACTATTGAAAAAGTGGTAAATGTCAAGCATTGTCCAAAAGCGTCGAAATAACTAACAAATCCACCAATTACGTACATGCATATGCTGCTTCCCCAGCACAGTCGTCAGAGAGTCGTTAGTAGACGAAACAAGTCGAAGTGGCATTCGCCTCAGATCTTCGGGCAAATAGGGAGGATGCAATTGTGTAGCATTTCGCACACTCATCGCCATATTCAGAACCACACGTCCCCAACGACCACATAAAATGCTTTCCAGAGTTCAAATCTTGTAGCCAAACTTGGATACAGGGGTGCAAATGATTTTCATCGACTTTCTGTTTCTTTAACATTCATTGATACGTTTTGTGTTGTGAATGATAGAAGAGCATAGCAGAAATAGTGCGAAAAAGGTTAGTGAAGCCATGGTCAACAAAAGAGGAAATCGATGAAGAGCATTGACTTTCACCCCTCGGCTTTTAAGCCCCTTAATTCAGTCATCGTCATAGCAATGAAAACTAGCATTGTACCGGTTTTGGTTCTTGGGTTACACTTGCTGGTTGCAATTCTGCTGTTCGACATTTTGAAGGACCACCAAAAAACATGAAATTACAATTACAATTATTAGAGCGCGTAGCTGACATCCCTTCTTATTTCTACTCGTTTGGTTTAGCGCAGTAGAAAAAATAAATAAACATTCTCATGTATCTGAACAGGCATAGAGAAGAACCATGACGTGAAACAGGATCATAAATTTGCCGAAAAAAGTGTAAAGGGTCTTTCTGTTAAAGGCTAAGATTTACCTTTACTTGTTGAGAGAAGGAGTTTAACGAGAAAAACTAAAAGAGGAGGAGCTTTAGCTGGGTGGACACTGATATTCTGCGGCCATCGAACCTGTCGCACACACCAGTCCAGCAGCAGACGGGCCGAGACTCTAGCGAGTGCCCAATCATTGAACCGAAGAATATGGGATTGTCCGGTCCGATTTGCTGATCCAGCTGCCTGCACGTCATCATCATCTTCCAAAGGCTTTAAGCCTGTCACCAAGATTTTCCAAAAGAGATAAATTCCTGGAGGTTTGAATTATTGATAGCAATGGCAACAAATGACACTACGTACGATGGTTGGGATCCGATCCACACGAAGAGAAAATCGACTATTGCTTTGGTACATTTTATTGTTTTTTGTTTCTGTCCTCCATGCATTTGTCTATTTATGGTTTGTGAAAGTAGAATAGTAATTTAATTTTGCAAGTACGCTTTTTAATGCAATTTCGCGGACCAACATTTGAAAACATTTTAATTCATTTTTTCCTTTTCTCAACAACTCTGTTTAAGACTTCATTTAGATCAGAAGTGGCGTTTTCGTGCTACATTTTGTTGTCATTAATTACTTTATTTGATAATGCTCAACCGTATTAACTTTACAGAGCCGAGGATTCTTGTTCACTATACAATACATCTTAAAACTATAGTCAAAAGGTATAACACAATAAACATTTTATCTTCCGCTATCCAATAAGCCTCCTCTACCAGAACGGGAGCCGCTTCCAGTGGTTTCATTGTATGGCAAATTCGCCAACGGGGGTCAGAGTGCTTCCATTGCAGCAATGGACGCAAAACGTGGTTAGCACTCACACATTCATCAAGAAACAATTGCTTTCCAAAGTCGACGACGCATCGACTGGAAGAACTGCTGATGAAGAACAATGAGGAGGACCACACAATGGTTGCTGCCGAGTAGACAGACGATCGCGTGACACACATTGAGAGTGGTCTGCTTTTGTCGACAGCCGAGTGAATACTGAGATTACAATTTATTGAAAAATATCAAAAGCGGTATTTTGAATAAAATTACAAGATCCAACATGCCTGAATTTTTTTTTTCTAAAATGTGGATGGTTTCCCATAACAAACAATATACGCTCCATGGGATAATATGACCAACAGCGCTAATTTTGTTTTACTCTAAGCCACACCGTTCGAAAGACATAAAATTAACGCTAGATTTGGCATAAATTTACGCGATATTTCGTGAAAATTTAAGCGCAATATCGCATAAATTAGCAATATTGTATGCAAGCTTGTAATTAATTTCACTGTTTATGCCAAGTGTAGCTCAAAATCAAACGAAGGGAGATTTTACGCGATAGTTAAAATTCAGAATTTTTTTCTGTGCATGATTTTTTATCATGTTCCAGAAATTAAATTAAGCTATTTCCACAAGTTTCCCAAGTCAAACATCCGATTAATTTGAAATGTCTGGAAAAACTCACTTCAAAATAATTTAAAAAAAATCTTTTTTCCTTCATTTAACGTCGGTCTCTGATCTGCAATCTAGTGCCAATCACCGACGGACATCGATTGCCATCCATTGACGGCAATCGAATGTGCAGGAAGGCAGTTTCCACACCTGCGTAGGATATCGCACCCATTCAACACATACATGGGCCGGGACCAACGGTTTTACTTCCCTTCCGAAGGAAGACGTGACCAGAGGTTTTTATGCCTCAGAAAAATCCCACCGACCTCGGCTGGGATTGAACCCAGACCCATCGGGGTGTTAGAAAGCAGTCACGCTTACCACTACACCACCGACGCCGGCTTAAAAAAAATCACCATGATTATTAATGATTGAGCAATATTTCACTGAATAAAAAGAAAGCTCCGTCAACTACAATATTCTCTCAACCGTCAATTCGTTTAGATAAACCGTTTTCATGCAATGATTTATTGAAAACTAACGAATACGCCATTTAGAAAAATTGGGCGAGAGTCAACATGGCCGAATTCCACCACAAATTTGCTTGATTGCTCCTAGTGAACAGTTATGCGAAGATCCATGGAATTCTGAGACGTAACATCTAAAATCGTTTATATTTACTACTCAGAAAAAAAAATAATAGTTTTAACTATCACGTAAAATCTCTTCTCGTTTAAGCTATAGATGGCATAAACATCGAAATTGCTTACAAGTTTGTACACAAGTTTGTATAATTCACTTAAATTTACATGAAATATCGTGTAAAATTACACTAAATCTAGAAGGAAGTTCACCATCCCTAAAACAATTTGTTTTCCCTTTATTCTAAAAATTTTGGGAAAAATTATCAAAAATCTAAGAAAACCAGTTTTTTCCATAGATTCCTGAAAAAATTAACCCGTAAAATGAATTGAATTTTCTTAAAAATGTAGAGAAAAAAAAATTATTTACTTAGATGTTTGATATCTTTTCCAATATTTTTATAAAAATCAAAACGTTATTATTTTTTTCGGAGCGCTGGAGAACTTTCTCTTTAACGTGTGCGCTATATTCGCAGAAATTTACGTGAATTTTTCATACGGTGTGGTGTGCCTTCAATACAGAAATCGTTCCTTGTATTAGGTAAGAAGAAAGAAAGAACACCAACATCAATCAGAACAGGGATATTCTCAGAAAAATAAACCATTTTCTAATTACTTATGAGCCGTCACCTTGAATAAATCCTTAAGTTGAAGGCCATCCACACGTCGCTTGACAAAATCAAAAATTCACACCCGTTTGCAAACATACGACACCGACTCAATTATGCACTGATGGCTTCCTAATGATGGTAGAAGCTTTCCCCATATTCGGAATAAAATGAAACCCAGCACGACAATTCCGCATAGTCGCCGCTGCCGCCCGCCACGATGTTGTTCAAGCGTTGCTTTCGAAACAATCTGGACGTCTTTCCCGTCGGTCTGCAAACCATGGAGATCCTCGGCCTCTGGGGTGAACCCAGAAAAGTTATCCGTTTCGGCTGCGTCGCCTTCTGGATGACCTTCATGATCATCGCTCCGAAAACCTGCCTGGAGTACGGAGGCGAGGGATTCGATTCGTTCGCCCGAGGAACCGCCGAGCTAATCTACTTTACCGACTTCATCTCGTCGATGGTTCTGTTTGCCTTTCGACGCAAGTCCTACGTCCGGATGATCACCATACTGCAGGACACGTTCCGAAAGTTTGCACATCCGAGTCAGCCTGCGAGCTGCCAGCATGCAGTTACCAACTTCAACGAGCGGATCTTTAGGTATTCTCGAATCTACGCCTGCTTCATAGGAAGCTGCTTGATCTTCTACGTTCCACTACCGATGACGGCAACCTTCGTGAACTACTTTTCCGCTGCCAATGGGACCGAGCCGGATGACTTCGTTTTGCCGCTGGAGAATAAGTTCTATGGGTTGGACACCCGACGCAACATGGTGCACTATATCATCTACATGATGATGCTGACGCCGGCCGTCATCGGCTCGGCTTGTCTCAGCATCGTCAAGGGAACCGTACTCTTCACGATCATCCGTTACGGCGCGACCCTGTTCGAGTTGGTATCACTCAAAATTGCAGATCTTGGTAATCCGACCAACTTCCGAGATCAAGATAACGTCCAGGAGCAGCAGCGGCAACGGCGCGATCAACTGCTGGAGATTATCGAACTGCACCAGACGGCACTGGAATTTGCCGATCTGCTGGAGAACACGATGCAGCACATCTTACTATCGCAATTTGTCAACTGTCTGCTCATCTCGTGTCTGATGATGTTCTACATCTCTAGTGTGAGTATTTCGCGACGCAAAGTGGGATCAAAGTTCGCATTTATTAATGGGTTGCACACCATTCTCCATTCTCCCACCACAGACGTACGGACCGAATGTCGTCAATATGGTAATCTTGTTCACCGTCCTCATGGTGGAAGTGTTTGCGTACTGTTTCAATGGGGATGAACTGAGTGAAAAAGTAAGCGGTGGTTTCGTTCGTTAATTCAATGAAGTTTTTATGAGGGTCTTTTTTGTGTGTCTCGCAATCACAGGCGGCAGAAGTGGCCAAAACGATCTACAGCTATCCCTGGTACATGGAACCCGTGGCCGTTCAGAAGGAGATTCAGCTGATGATTTTGCGTTCGCAGAAGAAGATTGGCATCACGGCGGCAAAGTTCTACTTTGTAGATATCGGTCGATTCGGAATGGTGGTACAGGCTTCGTACTCGTACTATTTGATTCTGAAGGAGAGATTTTAAACAAACTTACATCTTACTGGTTTAATATAAATGTTTCATGCAACACATCAGCAGCACACAAAAAATCTGACAATTACATCATGTGTCGCAGGTAGAAAGCGACATGATTTATAACTCGCACTCCTTCCCGGTGACTGCGAAATAGATGTTGCCAATTTTACGGCAAATCTTCATTAAGAAACAAGAGAAAGCCGTGCCATGTAATAACAACGTCTAAACACACACCATCAACAGACAACATCTAGCTGTGATCATTGTCGTAAAATTGTTCATCACAGCAGGCCGAGAACTTTGCTAATAATTAAACTCCATGGCTCTTAATGGTGAAACGTGCGTCATAGTGTGCCGTAAAAAAAGCGGGGAATTTTTTTCTATAATTTGTGAAAAAAAAAAATTCGCTAATGTTGAGGAACTCCCCTTTCACTAGCCATGCAATAAAATCCCTGCGGGTGATCTGCTATCTTTACGCTCCAGATTCTACCGAATGCCGTGAACGGATTGCCATCCACTTAACACATCAATTTTCACCCGGGTGGCGTAGCGATCGGTGCGAAATTTTCACCACAGGTCAATAACGGAGACCCCGGGCAAGACACCATCGCCGCACTTCGACCGGCGATATGGATTAAAACAATCACCACTAATTGACTCCCCGTGCGCTGTTTTGTAGCGAACGCGAAGAGGCTCTTAGCACTTGCAATTCTGTTTCACCTTTTCAGCCATCCGAGGGGTGGCTGATTGTATTTGACAGGTGTCCATTTGAAAGTATTAACTCACACACACACACACATAACGGAGCACACACAACGGAAAGAAAGGAGCCACGAACTTGATTCGGTGAATGGCGGTGAGGTGACTTTTCATCAACAATAACAACAACAACAAAAACTGACTCGAATACTGATTGAACCAATTAACTTTCTCGTGTAAAGAGAGTTTCATCAATCGATCGCAGACACCGGAGGAGTGCGAAAGCGATTGCGTATTGGAAGAAAAGTGCATCATGGCCTGCTGCTGAGTCCTTATAAGGAGGAGACGATAATTGAGTGACAATTTGACAATCACCGGACTGGGATTTCGGCTGATACTTAATTGCTCCGTAATTGATGCAACGTTGGGTTGATTATAACGTAATGTTTGATTTTAATTGTACATAACGGTTGTTACATGTTTTTATTTGAGATCCCGACGGAGAAGATAAACACAACCAAATACGAAGTAATTGGATCCTAATCGCTGGTCGTAATGCATTTCGCAAAGCCTACTGCTACATATCGCCATCCGCCGCATTTTTTCTCAGGCTACTATTTGCGCAGAAACACACGATTCATTCATTCCCGAGTACATACAAAGCAATCTTTTCAAATGTCTTTCAAAATGTCATTGCAATAGTGTAGGACTTTTTTGCTTTGCGCACATAAATAAACCTATGGCAGCGACATAAAGATCAACAAAATGGTAACATATGCAGCGTTGCATCGAACATAAACACATAAATCTTAATGCCTCTCCGCTTGACTTGGAAGTGGCCGGCTGGTTCCCAGCATCCAGGAAAGTCTTCAGTACAGAAAAGGGCGCTTCACGAGCATGCACGGTTGTAAATTGGTTCTATCAAGTAACGGGCCAATGATCTTTTTCTTCCGGAGTGAGTACGCCCCGGTTCCGAGCGTGTGCTGTAGTTGTAGTTGGATGTATTGTCACTAACACGCGATCACGCGCGGATGATCTCTGGAGAGAAGCGAGATGAAAGCCGTTCTATTTTTGTCTCTAGGAAATGGGGAAGGAAACGGTAACGGCTGAGAAAAGTTCATCAAACTCTTGATCGTCAAGTGAGACGCAATATGGCATGGATCTACGATAACTGCATCCAACGAGAACATGAACAGATTATTTTACGGTTTTGCATGGATGAGTTACAGAATTTGTAACGTAGCCGTCGTAGGACTTTGCATTGATTTATACAAAATTTACGTTAGCTTGTTTTATAAATTAAGATGGAGGTTGAAGAGGGAAGGCTAATGCATCAAATTTTCCTTAGAATTTTGGTTTAGAGAAAGAATTATGCTCCTGAGCAATAGAAATACTAAAGATTTTGGGCTTTGAAAACATTCCACGAACACATTGTTGCTCTTGGACTTGACTATACAGGACTGTACACTATGAATTTTCAAGATAATATCGTTTAAATTTCGGATGATTCCAAAGGAAGCCTAATGAGAACTCTTGGGCATTGAGAAAAGTATTGAAAAGGGGTTTTCCACTGAGAATAATTCCTATGGTTTTGCAACGAGAACTACAAATGAATTCTAAGGATAATTCCAAGGGAGTGATTAAAATTATATGGTAGTTCTACGGAGAATTCGATTTCGATTATAATGAGAATTACATGATAAATTCTCGAATGAAATTAATAGGAACACTGAGGAAAATTCATAATCAATTCTGAGGAGAATTCAAAAATAATAATTAATGATAATTATAAGGAAAATCTGACCACAAATTCAATAAATTCTGACAAGAACACCAAAAGTATCTTGACAAGATTTCAACGAGAGGATTCTCTTAGAATTGTTGTTCGGATGCTTTTGGAGTTTGGTAATTTTTTTGTCAAAAGGAATTCCATGGTAATTTTAATCTGAAAACAGTTCCAAAGGAATTATAAGGAGAACTCTAATTCTTCGAAAGACTTCAAGGGCATTATAGGGTGAGTATCATTTCTGAAGCAGTCCGAGGAAATTTTGAGGAGAATTCCGAAGAACTTTTGACGAGAATTCAAACTTGGTTGCAAAAATTCATTCCATATAAATATAAATATTTTTTTTTATTATTATGATATTACAGGGTGATTCAGAATAACTGTCAATGATTTCACAAATGTGCAATTCTCAGTGGATAAAATGGGTATGTGTTCATATATTTTTGTTTTAAAGTGTGTACAAATATCAGCGTGTATTGATAGTAGGAATTGAAATTTCATTCGTTTTCAATTTCAATCAGCTATGAACGTGAAAATGGAGCATGTCATAAATCTGTATTAAATCGTGTGTTATCTTTTAGAAATTGAAATCTCTTCGAAATAATGAAACATTAATTTTTAACATCATTATAGAGGTGCAAAGGAACCATGCTTGGAAAATCCGTTCAATACCTCAGCTTAGACGCATCGCCAGGAGTCAAAAGTGCTGGAGTCAAAAAACGAGTCATCTAACAGGAGGATGCCCCAATGAGCGGGGAGAAGAGCCCGTGCTGTATCCACGAAATGTTAACAACAGGTAGTTGGCATTGCCACTATCCCCATCCAAATTGCTGACATTGGATGCCCTGATGGTTCCTCCCAGCATTTTGTGTTATCTGTTTTGTTTGAAATATTTATGTAATGTTAGGGTTAGGGTCTGAAAATCCTGCTACTGGAAAATAAAATGTTATGTAAATAGATCAATTCATGTGAAAAATTAATATGAGCTTTGAAAATTCCGGACGAAAGCTGAAAAAAAAACCATTATAGTAGGCGTTTGGATGAACTGAAATTAGGCTTAAATAATTAAAATCGACGTTTACTTGAGAGAAATGCAGAATATTCTACGGCCTTTTGTAAATGTTATATGAATCAAGGGTATGTAAGTAGGGTGGGAAAACCAATGGATACACCCAGTCGGTGTTACTAATAAAAATGCAGTTTTGGTATCTAGCTCTGTTAGTCTGTTGGATTATTTTTTTGCTGAAATAAAATCATAAAAGGGCCATGATGGTCGTGATATCTTAATCACATCATGGAAGCTAGCTGTGGAAAAAAAATGCTGTCAAGTTCTAATCTATTGACTGATAGAGATAATAACTAGTAAAAGTGAAAATACTTTAAGATCTCTTTCTCGTAGATGTAATACCTCTGAATTTTCAATTTGTCCCGAATTGTATCATTGCTAACGATAAATATTAAATGAGAATTTGCAACTAATACCATAGCATAGCATAAACCAAGTTGCACAAATTCGTAAGGGTTACAAGTTCCAAACTGCTGTTAACAAGAAGAACCTCTTGCATCCAGTACTGTTAGATAGTCATTGGGATTAATCACCACCTCTTACATAAAATATTTTTCGCCTTCCAGTAACCCATAGCCGTCCTGGCAACACTGTCATTTTCTTCATCCTAAACATTAATTGCGATAGTTTGCATTCTACTCCAACACAGTTTTAGTTAGATTGACGCGCCAGAAAAAAATAAATTAGAATTAATATTATTACTAATGCAATCTGAGATCTTGATAAATATCTAGTGGCCTTAATTGAAATCTATGATCAGTTGGAGATCTTTTTAAAACTTACTGATCAATCTTCCATCTAAGGAAGGTATCTGTGGGACTTTATTTTAATTTTTGGAGAGTACAAGGTCTTCATCAACTCGAATTATTTTAAAATATCCAGAGAACTTAACTGAAATCACTAAAATTGTTCTCTCTAATTTAACAATATTCCTTCAACTTCTACGAAGTTCCCCAAACCTGTATGTGGTTTAACGCAACACGACCGAAAGGGGGAATTCTTCCGTAATGATAATCTCCAGAGCACTCGTATATAATTACACTCTTTATTGGGGAGAGTGTAATTATATACGAGTGCTCTGGAGATTATCATTACGGAAGAATTCCCCCTTTCGGTCGTGTTGCGTTAAACCACAAGTTATAATATTCGTTTAGTTTCCCCTAAGTGAGATTTTTCCTCACGTTCTAGTCAGGTTTTAAGTTCGCTCTTGCGGTGTGCATTCAGATTAGCTTTAAGTTAGGTTATTGTGTTCAATTGTGATCGTACTGATTCTTCGTTTGTAGGCAAACTTCCAGTTCATGTAAATAGTTTAGGTTTAACAACTAATTTAGTATTCAAATTAAATTATAAATGTAGGAAAACTTGAAATTTCACCGCATAGAAAGGTGCACTGATAGTTTTCACTTTTGTCTTCTGTTCCTTTTTTTGCATACTCACGAGTCGCTGTGGTGACATTGGC